TATGGAGCCCGCAGAACTCTTGTCACACCTTCCTGCAGAAAGCAGGTGTGATATTTGTATTTCGGAGAAGAACGGGAACGAAAATGCCCTCACGGGAAAATTTGTAGCCAAATCACCCTTCAAGGAAGCAATCTTACAAGCGGGCCAGGTCACTCCTCACGCACCTACAACTTCCCTTTGAGCGTTCTGGAGCACCTTAGATCGGAGGAAGTTCTAATGGATTCCCTCCACTTCACACGTTACCTTGACCCTATACTGCCTGCCCACTCTACCGTCGGTAGCCATGTCGCTCCCATGGTATCGGAAGTCCTCCACCCTTCCAATGCATAACCGTAAGCAATCCGAAAGTTGGCCTCACAACTGTTAGGTGTATTAACTGTGATGTCTGCCCCCTTTGTTAGGTTATGTGGGGTACTATGGCTCTGACTCCTTCGTACTCGTCCATCACTAGAGAGATTGAGTGCCCCAGAACTTTTCCGTACGTAAGCGTGCTACAAAACGCTGGTCCGGGTAAACCGTCGAACGCCTTCTCCTGATCGAGGAAGGGTAGGTGGTGGGGTCAGCTCTTTCTCGATACATCTCCATCACTTCTCTGGCGAGAACCTAAACTGTTTCTGGAAGATTGGGTCTAGCTTCCTTGACCTCGACTCCGACCAGTCGCTCGCACAGGCTATAAGCAGTCAACATGATCTCGCGGTAATTGGAGACAGTCCATCGCGTCACCCTTCTGCTTGAAGATGGGGACGATAGTGCTTGTTCTCCAGGCATCCTTCCTTCCGCAGTTACCTTGTTCAGGAAGCGGGTGAGCCATCTTATCCCGTGCTCTCCAAGCGCCTTCCAGGCCTCTATTGGTATTCCATCCAAAACGACCGCCTCTCCAACCTTCATCTTTCTTCCTGCACGTCGAAACTCAACGGTGCTGTTGCCACGTTCTTCGCCATGGTGTCTCAAATAACCAGATGCCGTACCTTAGCCAGTCCGCTGACAAGCTTCTCTGTAATTTGGCTTTGTAGGAGCGAGACCGTCTGGGCTTCGGGTCTTCTGCCAGCGCTTGTATGCCTTCTTTTGACGACTCGCTGGACCTCCTCGTTCCAGAACCACGCTGCCTTGTCTCCTCTGAATCCACCTCGCGTCTCTCCCAGTACCTCCTTGGCGCATCGTAGGATGATCTCAGCTGCATTGCCCCAAGTCTGCTGCACTGGTCCCTCAGGATCTGGGAGACCAACTTCCATTATCCTTCGCTTGAGGTCGCTCTTCTCTGCTCGGTGCAACTTCCACCACCGGATTCTCCTCTCGGTTCTTACCCTTGTCTTCTTGGGGAGATCCATGGCAATGTCTGCCAGGAGGGGCCTGTGCTGGAGCCAAATCTTCGCCAGGGAGTACCTTGATGTCCTTCACAGTTTCTGAGGGATGATCTTCTTACCAGCACATGGTCGATTTCCGTCTGTCTCCCTCCACTGCTGTAGGTACCTTCTGAGTCTCCCTTTTCGCGAAGAACGTGCTGCAGATTGCCAGATCGTGGGCCGTAGCCGAGTTGACCCTTCCCTCCCTTCTCGTTTCTCACTCCTATCAATCCACCTCCGTATACATTCTCCAAGGCCTCTTCTATTGCTACCGACGCGAGCGTTCAGATAACCTACCATGGTAAAGTAATAATCTTCCGAAGTCGATCATAGGCATGGTCTTATGGGATTCAGATATAACTCGTGCATCACATTTTCGGGACAATCAAACTGCGGTATAGTCCAATACCCTTCCTTCGTGTCTATTCTCAGAGCCATGATGCGATCGCTGGTCATGTTCACAGCCGAGAGTGATCCTTGAGCGTTACTGCTATGGCCATGCCATTCCCCTTTAGATCATGTGGGTCAAAAAAGGGCGACGTTTTTGGGCATAGTCGTTTTTTCTCGGTAGCCTTAGTCTGTCACGGGCGCGCACTTTCGGGCGACTTTCTGCATAACATTGATCTGATGAATGAATCTCTGAATCAATCTATGAATCTTTAGCATGATTTTTGTGACTGGGACCTTTATCAACCTGCCTGTCAACAGAGCCCTGGCGCTGTTACTAGAACCATTTTGGGAGTTCTGAAGGGCATAGCTTATACTCCAGCAAGGATCATCACTCGGTTTGAGAGTGCGACATTCGCTACATCGAACACTCAGCGATGTCCATGCGCGATGATGAAACGTGTGTTGGAAAGTTTCGAGTGAGTTGCACTATTTTTTGAGATTGATATGTTCAAGTTGCAGTGTCATCGGAATAGCCTTTACTCAATACTCACTATTTCTGTCCTGATCGATGATATCATTAGTAGCACATTTTCTGGCATATTTGTGGCGTGAAAGTATCTCTAAGTGTTCTGGTGGGTTCTTTACGCAAACGATGCGAAGTACAAGGGTCCCTTTGGCCTTAAAGCACACTCCGTGATAGAAACCCTGATCCTCCAGAGTGGCTCAGAGTTTCTTTTTGTGAATGCTGCCGTTGTACTACTCCGCCTGAGCGGAGCTCTGCTTCTCCGTGCCTTCGTCGTCTCGTAGTTTTGCTTCACGCTACTTCCGTTTTCAGCTTATCATCGGTTATAGTCAACGATTGGTTGGCATTGATTGGCCTGTGATCAGTATCCAAAAAACGAAGGCGATATGCTGCGTATTTTGTGATCCAGGATTGTTTTCTTCCGACAGCTATTTTCGCCTTTCCGGCTCACCCGACGGTAAACGGGCGGTCCTTAGAAACTGGGAATGCTTCTGCAATTTTGGCCTCAGAAAAATTGATAAGTTGGCAGTGAGGTTTTCCTATTGCTGGGTAAGATGTTATAGTGGTAGATATGGCAGAGATTCGGGCATTTCTAACTCGTGCATTTTCGACAAGTGACAACTTCATCTACTGGCAGCAAATTGATGCGGAACCCGCGTATCGTTGTTAAGGCGTGAGAGAAGAAGCGCACAAAGGAAGTAGAAGAACATGTCGAATTCCTCGATGCCAGCTTCTGTGATTCGGTCCTATTTATATTGCTTTGACGGGGTACTGTGATCCTCGCTGCAGGTGTATTGTCCAAAGCATGTCAAGAGAGCGTCACACTTCGTAAGTGACATTTTTTGTCTTCCGAAGAAGCAGCCAAAGTAATGCTAAAACGGTCAAATTTATTATTAGTGTTAGATTCAGTTTGAACTTCACGAAAGTTGTGTTCGTGTGATTTTTCATATCGCCACAGCAAGAACGAGCAGGTCGCGCGTAAGGAAACAGAGAGCATTTTCACAAAACTTGACTGCCTTAAGGCGCTACTTTTGCTCTATGGGGCAGTTTAGAAACCCACTGTTGTAGACGTTGCAGTTGTCGACCGAAGAACACCAGAAGACGAGAAGATTTGGTGAACAAAACTTTGTAACATAAAAACTTCTGAGTACCGACATGACATGGTTACGTACTACACACCGGGTTTGCACTAAAATACACATCTTATTGAACCATACATTATACGAAGTTATACGAAACATCTACGCGTTGCGACAGCGTTGTAACGTCGCAAGCCGTCGCATCGTCATAATTCGAAAGCGGGTAAAATGAAAGGATCTTACAGCGAAGGACTCTCTCTGTAGCGAGTTCAAGCATGTGCAGACTTCTGATTTTTGAGTTAGGTTGTAATAAGGTGAATCCCATATATATCTCCTTCGACAGTCTCGTTTCCTCGCCTCTCCTGATTTCCACTGTCTCTCCAATCGAAGACCAGCTCACAGTAGAGAAGGAACAGTGTTGGAAATTACAAAAATTTGAGAAATAACAAATTTAGATTAATTAACGAGGAAAATTCATGATGAGCACGAGTTTTTACACTTTCCGAAGCCATAACTTGCTTCATTTTCGTCAAATTCTGAAAAGTTAATATGGCAGACAAAACTAGAAGATTTTCTCTACCAAACCGTTGCTAAAGCAGCTTTATACGTCCAGCATAAAAAATGGCCGCTTGAGGATTTTTGCCCGAGTACCGCCGCATGGTACTTTTTTCGCATGGCACTATTTCAACGACTATGCTCCAGGGGCGATTAGGAGAGATAGATAGATAAAGTAAGAGCAGATTCGAAATCCTTGTGCATATCTCTTTCCAAGAAGTGTAAAATGTTCAGCGTGTCTCTCATAAAGTTTGCAGTGTTAGCTACTATGGGTTTCTTGTTGAATGGTGTACTCCTCCTGTAATTTCACATGAACCCTTTCAGAATCCTCTTGATTTTTCCTGAATTGAGATTCTTTCTCCAGCCGTAGTTGAAGCGCGCGCAACCAACTGGGCCCACTCTGGGATGCGCCGTGTGCTTCACATCCCTTCAGATTCGAGGACTCACTTGAAAGATAAAATATCCTTGGAAAACGTGCGAATTTCGGATTCTTAGGGTGTGGTGATAAAACACTGAAGTAACTAAGAATTGCAGAGCGGACACTTCTGAATCACGAAGATTTTATGTGAGCGGAATAACATTGTTATTGGAAATCCTCTGCCCTGGCATCAACTCGATCCATGATGTTTGTCCTCCGACGTTGATGATCCTACTGCATCATCCGGCCCAATCTCTTCCTACCAGCTGGCCAACACGACCCCCACCCCTGTGACATGTCGTGGATTCTTCACTTCACCGCACGCTGACCTGGAATATCACAGGCCCTGTCTTCAAGATCGTCGACGATTTCTTTTGATCTGGTTTTTATTTCAAGTCAGTTCCTCAACTCTGAGGTCATCGAATTTATCGCCCAACCAGCTTGATCCTGGGTATTGCTTCAAAATTTAGCAAGTTCATGAAGAAGAAAAAAATTATTGGAGGCACCACAATTAGGCGCTTCTTGAGGTGTACAGGACGAGAAAACAGATGGTCAATCATGGCCTTAAGGGTGAAACTGCAAACAGCATTTCAAATTGAGAAAATCTAGTCTATATTTGCTCATGGGGTTGTCCCGAAGCACTATCCATCGGTCGGAATTTTGCAAGAGCGTTAGCGTGTATTATGTGGAAGATGCAGAACATGTTATAGATTTGACGGCGTTAGTGGCCGCACTGTTTTCGAGGTGGTCAACAGAGTTTTTAATTTGTCTGGAAGCTTCTGTTACTGTTATAGTTTTTGTATCGATGGAATCTAAGATGTGTTGTTCCAGGTACAATGCCTGGCCTGGAGTGGCTGGGTCTTACGGAGCAGAAAGTGAAAGAAACAGTTAAAAACGTCGCTTTGTCGAAGCAGTTAACTGCCATCATCTCGGCCGCTGAGGAAGCGTTGAAGACTGCGGGTAAATCGTTGGAGCTGGAAAAGCAGCAGGTATCTAGCAGTGTGTTTTGTGTTTTTTTCACTATACTATCCGAAAAGCTGTTTCGACATTCAGTGTCTTGGAGTTTAAGGCAGCGATTACGATAGATCTCAAAGGGGTTTAGAGGGGACGTGAGGGTCTCAATAGTACGCCAATGGCGAAAAAAGCAAAGAAATCCGTCAAAAATAAGCAAAATAGTACCCCTTTGATTGCCCTTTCATTTTCGACCATGGATGAGCGACGGTAAAGAACGACGTTGTTCGGACGTGTTAACCCCGATAGCCGCCATCATGCCAACAAGCATAGAGTTTTAATGGCGCTCATCCGGTAAGGGGGGGGGGCATTGTGATGCAACGTCAAGTGGCTGCCCTCACCCCCACCCCCCTAGACTGCCTTCACTCCCCCTGGCTCACGGGGTCCCGTACTTCGAGAAACCTGTGCGCCAGGGGGAGTGTAGGCAGTCTAGGGGGGTGGGGGTGAGGGCAGCCACTTGATGCCCCCCTTACTGGATGAGCGCCGTTTTGATTGATAAGGCATTACATGGGCAAGTTGGAAGATACAGCCGATAAAAGGGAAATGATCCCCAAAATGAAAAGCCAACAGCAAACAGCTCGCCCAAGTCATCAACTGAACTAGTGGGCGTAACGCTGCTGGGGCGGAGTGCTGCGGAGGTCCTGCTCAGCAACCACAGCACCTTTCGCCGTGGAACACATCGCTTCCTTGGCAGCCAAGTAATTGCTCCGTGTGGCGCAGGTTCTCCCCCGATGCGAAAATTCCTTATCGTAATCGCTTCCTTTAAATGGAATCAGATGGATCGTATTCGTTACATAGTGCGAAAAATTGTGTGCATCATAAATCACATCAAAATTTTTGGTATACGGTATCACTACAAAATGCTGCACAAATATGGTAAGAAAGTATTGTGGCACAGAAAGTGCAGTTTGAAATTAGTCACTTCAAAGCTCTGCAGGTATCTTACAACGTAGCAAATGAATCACTGCAAGAACATTAAATACGGCTGCCTCCGGCAGAAATAACAGCTTGAGCACGGTAGGGGTATGCGATGATTGCACTGTCTTGGGTTTTTCTTTCGCCCAGAATGTTCGTTGGCAGTGTCTCGGTTAGGGGTGTTCTGAAGATGTTGGTGTTTAGCACCAATTTTACTCTAAAAGAGCCTAAGCCTGGAAGCCTGAATCTGTATGAAAAAGGGGAAGGACTTCCACGTATTTGATAACTTACAACGGCTCATTCAAATTATGGTAGACGTTCTCTTCTCGGTCAACTATCATCGTCTTTTTGTATTTCAGGGAACATTGTTGTACCAACTGGGAACTAAAGTCAAACCGCAATGCGTGAATCATATTCCATTACTGGTTGGCTATATTATCAATGGTGGGATCAGAAGTGAGGCTCAGGCGAGTTTCTTTCGATATCACATTGTGTTTTGTCAGACGGATTTCTCAATCATTTTTAGTTTTGTTGTCTGATTGCGGTTTTCTTGTGACATTGATTCTATGTTATAGCTTGCGAAACCTTCCTAGTCTAGGCATTGTTTGCACAGAGCAGTGCATAAATAAGAGACTATTCCAATTAACTAACTTCCTCTTCAATGTCCTGTTTGTTCTCCCTATATTATTAACGTTTCCTTGTTGCCGTCACTTTCATCATGTTTGTATCACAGTCTACCCCTTTCAATCTCGTCTTCTTTCGTTACTATGTTCTTTCTGCATTCTTGCTACTCGTCCGTAAAGTTCTTTCACTGTGTCGCACAGACGAGTAGAGATGCTTTAGAACTAAGCCTTGGAGAGGAGAGGGACCCGCGAGAGCGCGCAGAGGGTTTAAAGGGCCGAGTTCAAGTAGTCCGTCGACCTTTTTGGCCTATAATCTTTCTCTTAAAATTGCTTCTGTTTGCTTCGGAGCGGTCTAACATTTCTTTAGAATTCTTGCCTTTTCGAGATGCAATAGAACTTTGCAATAGAACATGTATCCATGAATGAGAGTTTAATCACCAAACGAATCTCTTATTGTTATCGTATGTCCGAGTGAGTTTCCGCGATGCATACTTTCTTAACACAAGTTAACACAAAATAGGAAGTGCCACACCATTTAAACCTTTTCGCGTAATGTTGAGGCACGTGCACGTGCAAGGAACGAAGAGCCCTTCTCTTTTATTGAACAGCTCTCTAAATGTCAAATAAGGTGGATAATTGGATTCATGGTTCGATTCCCATAGTGACGTCTTGGGTTGGCGATCCAGATTAGCGCCGCTGTCCAAAATGGCCATCGTTTTTAGTGGAACCCATCAGTAGCCTTCAGGGGAAGGTTTGGAGCTCATTACTTTTGAAATGGCCCCATTGAGCATCCACGGCAAGAGTGAATCTCTTGTTCGTGATCAGGGCGCCAAATAACCTTTCTGGTCGAAGTTTTACATGCAGCTTCGCAAGAATTTTCCCACCTTTTCGATTAGAAAGGCTGTTTGATGGAAGTGAACCTGGGTTCTGTACTCCATGCACGTGCACCTACATAAAGCTGAATTAGAGATGCGCACTTTTTCTGGGTGTTATGTCGCTTACTTCTCCACGAAACCCCGTTTGAGCTCAAGTTGACGTGTTTGGTGCGAGGGTGTATTCATTGTGCATGCATGTAGTTGCATGCATGTACCTAATAATCTTATAAATAAGAGCGTTTAAAAAGTGTTTGCACTATTTATCGCTGTTACTTATGGTTAGGGTCGAACCATGCTTTGCAGTTCGGCTTGCATTTGAATCTGGTACAGTTACGTATCGTATCGTGTGGTTGTCGATAATGCATCTGTTCCACACTTAAAGGAATCTTCCACGGAAAAAGCTCCGCCCTCATTACCACAGAAAACGATACCTTAAAGGAATCTTCCACGGAAAGAGTGATCATTTTGTCTTGTGTGTAGGATTAGTATTATCGAAACTAACGCTTATGTTCCGTTCTTTTTGCTATGCTCATGAGGCTAGGGGCCTAAGGTATCGTTTTTCTGTGGTAATGGAGGCGGAGCTTTTTCCGTGGAAGATTCCTTTAACTGCAAGTTGAACTCAAAGATTCGTCCCTTACTTCAGAACATGAACGAAGAATAGGTAATTTATGTGATTTTATTTATTTGCTATTCCGACGAGAAAAAGAAAGCATTTCATGACCGAAAAACTAGCGTATTGTCAGTAGTCCTCAACAATGATCCACTCCCATTTACAAAATTCTAGGTTTGTTGTCCATGTGTACAGGCCTTTTTACTCTGATCGTCCTGATTTTATGGCCTTGGCTTGGATTTGCTATGAACATCCCGTAAAATTCGCATCTTTCTGAAAACAACTGTTTAAGCTGACCGCTGCCTTGGACTATCTCCTCTCAAATGCTGTTCATGATGTCGAAATTGTCGCACTTGAGAAAGCGTGCGGCGTTGGAGTGACTGTCTCTGCCGATGAAATCGAAGACGCAGTAGGTTATTCTACCTACCTTCTAATCGTTGGCTAGGTATCAATATGACAAGCTTTCATCAATCAAGATGATCTCTTTTCAAGGTTACCAGCGTTATTGAGAAATACAGCAAACAACTGGTAGCTGAACGATATGCATTTAATGTTGGAAAATTGCTTGGTGAGTGTTGCATTCTCAATCACACGCTATGACATGATCATTTTCAAAGTAAGCTATTGTAATATTGCGGGTCAGTAAGCTAGTACTGATCAGCCTGAAATGGCAAGTTCTTGAAAAAATAGTAGCGTTCTTAGGGGCTCTAATTATGAATTATTTATAATGACGTAGCACGGAAAGGGTAACTCGTTCTATAAGTAAGCCAGTTGCAATGAAATGCCTGACGAAAACTTTCTTTATGCAAAGAATATTCGCAATGCCCAAGTGCAGTGGAGATTGTTAATTGGTGCGCTTCTCTTAAGTGTTAATATTGTTGTTGGGAGAATTATAATATACCCCATTTTCTATTGATCGTTTTTATTCAGGAGAAATACGCTTACTCTTGCCTTGGGCTGATGGAGGTTACGTAAAGAAAGAAGTGGATCTTCGAATTCTCGAACTTCTTGGTCCCAAAACTATCGACGAGATTTTGCCAAGGAAAAAGGTATTGAAGATTCGCTGCAGTTTATTTGTCTCCCATTCGATTTTGTTCCATTTCAAATTTAGTGACTGTAAAACCACTTATAAACAAAGTTTGCACCACGGCTGGTTTGTTGGACGTTTTTTGTAAACGTTTTCGTTTCAGGCAAAGAAAGAAGACAAACCACTCGAGAAAAAAGTCGCGGGTAAGAAGGGCGTAGCGCTTGAAAAAGAAGTCACTACAGAGCAGAACGGTCTAATCGAGGGTTAGTTTGGTAATATTATCTTTTGCTGAAATCTTGAGTATTTTTGAACACAGTTCAATTCAGAGAGCGATGGTGCAGCAACGATTGAGGAGCTCATGCGTACACGAGCTCATTTCCACAAGGTATTTGAAATTTTTGCTCGTTGTGCATTGATGTCAGTCGCATTTCAAATTTATCATTTTTCATAACCTATTTTTTACAGGTTGGCGAAAATTATACCACTGACGGATACGTCACTACTCCGCACACGAAGGAGTTGCTAAGGAAACACCTTGAAGCCACTGGAGGGAAGGTGACAGTTTCCATTTCATCGCTTTTTCTTACTTCATTTGAATATAACAATTCTACAGCCTAGTACTTACAATAAGCTGTGCCAACCTTTTCTAGCTAGGAGTTTTCCTTGGAGAAGTAGGAACGACTTTCTGTGCATCAAAGAGTGAAGAGGAGTCGACGATATCATGTTACTCCTCAGTTATTTGCAAGTAATTTAGAGTGAAACCTTATCGACTGATGCTATCGAAAATAAGAACGGTTGATGGAGGTTAACCTTCGACTGTATGCTGGACTTATTGTAAAGGAGAGTAGACATCGTGATGCACAGAAATGATAACTGGACTTGTTACCGAGTCCGGCAGCAGCATTTTATTTTTCTGACTTGCGAACCATCGCATTCTCTCGATTCCTGAAAAATTAAGGACTTCTTGAAATTCACCCGTTCAATTAATATTTCGACACACGGGAGTATTTACTGGGTGTTTTAACGTAATCATTCACTGGATCGTAAATTACGAAGGATTAACGATCAGAAAGATTCACCTGGGTCCCAAGCTGGTAGTAAGTATTAATTCCCCTTGACTGGAGTAAGTCCCGGAATCACCCTCTTACCCCTGGAGGTAGATTCGTAGCACAGGAGGTGACCTTATCTTTTTTTTTTGCCGTGGGAACTCCAGGTCCACCCCTGCATAACTGGACCTTGGGTTCGCAGTGAAAATGTTTCGCGCTACGGAAAGCGAAGAAGTACAAGAACAATAACGTTAAAAGCATATTTCCTCATTGCGCAGAATGCATTCTTGCGTCCTTACTTGGACTTTGGTGCGAAGATTGGCTCACCATTAATTCAAGAAACCTAAAAGCTATTAACAATTTTGGCATCACAGTGTGCGCCATTCATATGGGCGCAGTACGTGCTCCACCCTACAGGTTTTCTGGGTCAGGTGGATGGTGCCACTTTTTTATGTAGTGGAAGTGAACGTGCGAGGTTGCCATAGTTGTAAATCACTACTCAGGCGATAGGGTGCAAACGAGGGCGGCACATTGACTTATTTCGAGGACCTGACAGCAGAATCAGAGTTCAAATAGTTCGTAGACGAGATCTCTATGACCACCTTCCCTACTTGACATGGTAAATACGGTTAAAAACGGTCAAAGCAGGCCAACTAGTGACGTTTGCATGGTTGCAAATCGCAAACTCCGCCCCTATGACCAAGTGCAGCGCCATTTCAAGGGTTCTTAGCAGTTTTTTTTGCTGTTTTCCTAGATTTCTGGCGCACCATTCACCAGATAGCTTAATATTAGGCGACAGCTCGTTGTGCATGTGCCTCGGCCTCTTTCGAATTTTTCTGGGCCTCCAGTGGGCCTACAATAATTTTGTTAATGGTAATGGATGTACCCCTTCAGGATCCGGTAATGTGAACAAAAACTTTGGAACATAAAAATACCGAGTAGAGGGAACAATATCATGCTTATCTGTGTGAATGCCTGACGCACATGCGTATCACACTGTCGTCAATGTGTCATTGACAAAGCTCAAGAATCGATGTTCATGGAAGAGAAATTTTGGAGTAGAGAGAATAGACGAGGAGTAGACGCATGTTTCGTTCCGCGGTAGCACTTACCTTTCAGCAAGGTTAAGAGTTGCGAGTAAGTATCCAGCGGAAACAAGACATATCGTACCACGGCTTTCTTCTCGGAAGTGCCTTTAACATCAGAGTGTCCAGTAATCATTTCAGTTTCTGCCTGATGGATGGTTCACTTGTGATGCACACCTACATATTATTATAAGGATAACATACGCAAACACTACTAATAGTATGATTACAAAAGATAATTTGTTGTAAAGGCCCCCGAAATATAATAACCGTGGTCAACCCGTCCAAATTTGAAATTAAAGAGAGCAAGGGGTTGCCGTTCCTCGGTTTTTGGCCATCTTGCTTTGTGTTTCACAAGCGCATCATTCGACTCCTTCATTCACACTGCAATCGGATTATCGCGAGTTTTGCTTCTCATTTTTGAGCGCAATAATATGCTAGATTGGTCGTGAGGTATCTTGAAGAAGTGTATGAACCTAAATTTATTATTTCTTCAATATTGAAAGAGTTATTCTTAGGCGCTTCAAATGCCTACAGCTTTCGTTATCCTTGTTACACTCTAACTGGTTTGGTTTGAACACGTGCACTGCCATTTCTGTAGGAAACAACAATTAGGGGAAGTTCGAGGCTCATACGCTGTTGTACCGCATTCTTCGTCTTATTCTGGCCTGAAACTCACACACTAGATTATTCTAAAATGGTTCTGTCTTCCTTCACTGAACTCTCCTCACTTTCGGTGATATTATGAAATCTACCTGTGGACCCCATTGTGCCCACACCCCCGACTTACCGATTACCGCCACTCTTCGGGTCATCGTGATCTCACCGTGCTCCGCCATGATGATCACCTATCGACACCCGGCTCCAAGCTGGGTGTAGAGCCATTTCTATGTGATCATAGTACTAAAATCCCTCGCAAGAAAAGATTCTTTTCGAAAAGTGCAACGAAGTATTTGCATCTTCGCTAGAAAAGACTGCTGAAGTTGCCCTTCCTCTTAATTTATCATGATATATAATATCATGGCGGTTTTACTTGTATTAGAGTTAGAATCCTGCACTGGACTACAGTGTGTCCCAAAAGTATAGGTTTGCCCAACTTGTCATTGATATCTCTGGAACAAAGGAACGATTCTTCCCCATTCCAACCAGGAACAATATGTATTTCTGATACTCGTATTTGTGCCGTAGGACTCCATATTGAACTGTGTTGGTATGCCTGAATAAAATTGAAAAGAAAACACGCAGATTTTTTTAAATTTTTTTTTAATTCCTAAAAACATGGTGTCCCAAAACTAAGGTTCGCGTCCATGTTTTCTCAACAATATTATAATTCTGAACCGCGCTGTTACATAGTTCGACTCGCTGGTGCATCGTTCGATTCGCTGGTGCAACGTTCGATTCGCTGGCGCAACGCTCGGATCCAGCGATTCGCTAGCGAATCGCTCGATTCGCAAACTATGACATCGGCCATAGCACCACCGTCAGCGAATCCACTCACGGAGAAGAGACGTGGCTTTTTCCTCAAATCGTGTTCAAAACTTATTACGCTATTGGTACAGTCCAGATTACGCCTCTTTTGTCCGAAAAACTACCTACGTTGCCTTGGCGTTTTGTATTTCGTGAAGAGATGATCACTGAAAACCACCTCAATCCGTTGGTGCGCCCTTCCAATGTATTTCTCGGCAAGAGGACTCATGGCTCTTTGTGAAAACTTGGTACATATGAAGCAATGAAGTACTATCTTCACGCAGAGTGATTTGATGATTTAAGCACATGGGCAGAAGAGCTTCTCGACACATTAGGTGTCAGTTCCTTGCCTAGTCGTTGCACGCCCTTAATTTGACGCAGCGTGATGAGTTCAAAGCCACTGCTTCTCTGAAAGCTTCCCCGATATTCTGATACTTGTATTCGTAGGGCTGGTGGCAGAGTCCGCGATTTTTTGCGCGTTTTGCGCGATTTTCGCTTCGCGCTCAAGTGCCTCATTCAATACTGCAAGGTGTTCTCTTCCACTTGCTTCATATTCAGTGTTTCAATTGTTCAAATGGGCCACTTGCAATTTTTGTGATCCGCGCGATCTCATGGTCATCCTCATGGTCAGTTCAGAATAGATGCAGTTCCGTCCCTGAACGAATGAGCATTTCAATGAATAATAGACATAACATTAAACGAGTAGAATCACGGGCAGTCTTCCTTCAATTTCCAGGATTAAACAGCACCTCGCAGTATTCATCGGGGCACCTCCAACTCCTGTGACCCATCGCAGGTTTCGCAAAAATCGCGCAAATCGCGAAAATCGCGAAAATCGCGCAAATCGCGAAAATCGAATCGCGGACTCTGACACCAGCCTAGGACTCCATCTTGAATTTTTTGGTGAAGTTTAGGGATGAATTTACTCTTTTCAAGATGCTGCGATCACTGACTGCAACATCGTTGTAAGCCTCAATTTACAATTTTCCATTGCAAGAATTGTATTCTACCTAGATGGCACTGCAGAACATACGAGGAAGAAAAGGCAATATTAATTTATCCTAACAAACTATTTTTGGAGGAACATAAGGCAGAAGAACCAAGTGAACATATTCTTTTGGGACGCCATATTTTCCAAAAAATTTTTCTAGGCTCCTTTTCTTTTGAATTACAATCAACAAATGTCTACACAACTCCCATGCTATCGCTGGTAAAAATTTGGGGCTAAAGGGGTATCTTCTCACGAAATATCTAGAAAAATGGGTGAACCTATACTTTTGCGACACATTGTATGCGTATTATTACGTTTGTCTGAGGCATGTTAAAAGAATAATTTCAGGTCATCACTAGGTTTCCACCTGAGCCAAACGGTGTTTTGCACATTGGGCATGCGAAAGCTATTAATATCAATTTCGGATACGCCAAGGTGTTCGTTTCTCTTCACTTGTTTTCTTCTTGACCAAGGGCTTTCCTTCCTCGAGTAGATATAATCGCAATGATTGATTTTATAGGCTCATGGTGGGCTTTGCAATTTGAGGTTTGATGACACGAATCCGGAGAAAGAAGAAGAGAAGTTTTTCACTGCAATCGAAGACATCGTTGGGTGGCTAGGTTTGTGAGACAAGAATCCGTTCTTTTTTTCATTTCTTTCGTTGCTCCCACGACTCAATCGCATGTGTAATACTGAGATGCATTCTAGTATTTTGAGCGGCGTCTTACACTCAAATTACTAACGATAAGTTGAGTGTGTTTACAAGGAGAGGCCCTCTGATCGCCATAGCCATCAATGCAACACCCCAGATGAGGTCATGTGTAACAGTCTCTTCATTGACAGGAGGGTTGCTCTCGAGTCTTGATGAAGTGCCGTTATCGCGACTCCAAACCATGCGAAAGGAGCCAAGGCCTTACCAAAATCGGCAGTCCCACGTGTGTGCAAATGGAGATTTCTGTGAAACTCCTTGAACGCTCCGTGAAAGAGTATCACTAGCGTAGCGGTTGATCCAAATTCGCCCAGGTTGGTGGAGCCACGCAGCAAGCAAGTGCGGGAAACTCGTCTAGACAGTGCCTTGCTTACTTCCAAAGGGAAGAAAGGGGATACATGTTAAAGCTTCATCATCGATTTCTTCTGCTTTTTTTCATTTTTAATCAACTCGACATCCACAATTCTACTGTCGATCGTTGTTACCCAACTTTTTTGATCCAGGTTGCGCTTTGAAAAGAGGTGTGTATTAGTGTTTGCGTCTTAGAACGCTGATCCAAATTTGCCCACTAAAGCTGTCAAAGTTCCTCAAAGGAGTCATGAAGACCTTCTCATGTATATCTCGCATAAGGCAATCGAGGTGCGGGAGAGATGTGGTGCAGTAGCGGTACGGACCCGGAGGAGAGAGGTCGTGGAATTGTTGAGTTCGTTGGCTAATCTGCAGTTTTACTCTTCCTTGCAATATGGCTAGAGGACTTTCAGCGACCTTACTTCACCAATGTGGTCCTTCGTCAGCCTGTTGGAAGAACTGCGCCCAACTTCTAATAAGTTTAGGCACTACTTGCTACCAATTTAATGGCAGGTTTAGTGCATACGCTAATAACCAAATGTCATGTTCGTACTCACTATCAGATGGTCATATATCTTGCTACAAATTTTTGACCAAACTGCGCTTCTGACCGAACTTCAAAGAAGTGGGCAGTCGTTGGCATCAATCCTCCAATAGTTGAGTCGAAATTCAGGCACAAGCAACAACTGTGCTTATGGTTGCGGGGAAGTTGACCTTTTGAACACGAATTCTTTTGTTTAGCATAGCAAATGCGCTATAGGAACTATGAGTAGTCATGGTGAGGATAATTATAGGAAAGCTTCAATAAAGAAATGCCTATGAAAATCGAAGTGTATACGACGATTTTAAAAGTAAACTCGCGAAAAACTCCCTCGTAACCTCTTGTTTGGGAGTTTCGACCCCCTCCCTCCGCTGTGTTTTCGGCTTCATTATTTCGTTGTTAACATATTCGGAAAAAAGATTGAGAACAACATTTCGATAGGCATACAAGAGTGCACATCTCATTTTGAATGGCCATGGCGATCTGAGGGCCTTCCCTTGTTAGCTCGTCCCTCCATTTTGTTGTTAGAGCTTATCATCGTTGCTTATCTAATTTTTGAGCCGTCCTGTCATTCCTTTTTGAACGGACTACATATGAAATTGAGTTTGTGGTTGAGTAGAGAAAGGCTGCCAATTAACCGCGCCAAAAGCTCTTATACATAGTGTTCCTGTTTGTAGCAGACCTGAATTTTGATGAAGGAATGAATGTCCGCTTCATGCGCTTCGCACACGCATCCCATCATACATCCTTCGCGCATGCACATCGATATCATGAGTTTGTATCTTCTCGAGCTTTCCTTTGCATTTATTCTCTACACCAGATTAGTCCCCCGTCAACTGCCGGGACTTTCCTTCACTGCTTAAACTTTACGTCTTTCGCTGTGGCCGCTTCCATCAACACCTCGCGTAGGTGACGCTAATGCTACAGAAAAGAAGTATCGTATAGTGGAGTTTATCGCAAGTTTATAATCATAAGTGACGGTAGATTTTTCGCCTCCCATCCCTATCCTCCCTTCCCTCCCAATCACAATGTTAGCTGAAGCCCTGCGAGCTACCCGATTTGTTAGCGGTTTGTTTATCCCATGAGTTTCCTTATCACTCACTCATTCATTGCGGACGGACACACATACATACATACATACATACATACATACATACATACATACATACACACATACAGACATACAAACCGACACACAAAGTTAGCGCTTTATAAAATAGAAGGATAATAGATATATTCGTATACAAATCCTCTAACGAAGTTCAAAAGGTTCTGTTTTCTCATTGGCATTACACTTTGGTATACGCCACATATTAACAAGGCCTTGAATAATTTCATCACATTAGTCGTTGCTATAATCACATGTCATATTCATATTTTTGTATACCTCACTACTGAAAACCTGACCGACTTCGTGAAACAGCCGCACGCGCGGTCGTCCGTTCGTTAAAGGAATCTTGCGCGGAAAAATCATGATTCTATTTCAGCCATAAATCACTGGCTTGAGACTCATTATCCACGATAATAGTGAAAAGAACTGAAGTATTGCTTTCGTTTTGATTAGAAATTCGAAAACTCGAAAGGCTGCTACGCGTTCGAATTGCCCACGGACGTCTTTCACGAATGCTGGCGACGGGGATGCTCAAACTTGGTTCTTGGAGTGCATTCACTAGAAGCTCTTTCTGGCCTTCTGCTTCGTTGCATTCACATCTTACACTTCTACTCCATCCTATTCCATCGATCGATTTGTCTCCACTCTCCGAAATCGCGCGCTTTAACCCGATTCTCTCATTGCGTCGCCTGGTACGTAGCCGGCCAAACGCCGTCTTCTTTCCATGCCTCGCCTGGCTCTGCCTCCTGGTCCTTCGATGGTCCATAACGTGTAGTTTTTGTACGTTTGTTTCTCTTCAGAAACCGAATCTTCATGCGTGAAACTTTGTGTGCTATTTCCAGTGATCACAACTGACATATTCATGTTAGGAAAGAATGCAAGAATTTTCCGCGCAAGATTCCTTTAATATCTCTTCAATATTTGGGACCAGTCTTCCACCTTTTGATATAACACTGCTGTTTGAAAGGGCCCATTTGCCTAAGGCTAGCACTACGATGCAAGCAAAATCAAAAAAAATAGATTCACCAATGTGGAAAAATATAATTCTTGAGGAAAATGTTTTTCAGTTGGGCGGAAGTGGTGTAGTGGCAAGTGGCACGCTTACCACGCGCGGTCCGGGGATCAAATCCTGGGTCGTGAGTCGCCCGGGCCAACCAAGCCTTCCATCCCCGGGGTCGGTTAATTGGTACCAGACTTGTCTGGGAAAAACACTGACTTGTACATCGGCTGGCCCCCGCAAGTCATTGTATAGGCCACATCGCATTCAAACGCCACTACGAATGTACAAATGGAAGTAGAATGCGTGCCGCATCCCAAAAAGGGATTGATCCATTATTTTTTGGTTAAATTATTGTGCTATACTCTGAGATCATTTCGTAGTTGTGAATTTGGTAGAGCAACAACCCCAGATCAAATTGATTCCCTAACAGCAGGCGACAATGGAATTTGGATGCCTAGTTGACTGAAAATGAAAAACGAAGCAAAGCAAATGCCTGTAAAGCTCTCAAGCAATACTCCCTTCTCTTTCAATGGAAAGGGAGCGTGTTTGGACGAGTTACTGAACTTGCTTGCTCCATGGCTCCACTAACCCGCGCGTATTTGAATTAGCCGCTACGCGTAATCCACGTTGCGTGTCATGGGGTGTGCGCGAGGTATCTCGTCCATTAGCTCACATTAGCCGTCATTAGCTCACTTTGTAAGGCCCTAGCGCCATTGTCGCGCATTTTCGAGCCGCGACAACGGCACAACTGTGATACTCGCGGGCTACTCTAATTCCCACAGGAAAGATTGTTC